CCGGTTCGATCCCTGGTCAGGGAACTAGATTCCCCATGCATGACGCAACTAAGAGTTCACATGCCACAACTAAGACCTGGTGCAACCGAAAAAAAAAAAAAAAACCCCACAGTGAGATACCACCTCACACTCATTAAGATGGCTATCAAAACAAGCCAAAAAATGCAGAAAATAGCAAATGCTGGTGTAGATATGGAGAAATTGGAACCCTTGTGTACTTCAGGTGGGAATATAAAATGGTGCAGCTGCTATGGAAAACGGTACGGCAGTTCCTCAAAAAGTTAAAAACAGAATTATCATACACAGTCCCACTTCTAGGTATGACTGAAAGCAGGGACATGAACAGATATTTGTACACCCATATTCATAGCAGCATTATTCACAACAGCCAAAAAGGTGGAAGCAACCCAAGTGTCCATCAGCAGATGAATGCATAAACAAAATGTGGTGTACATACACAGTAGAATATTTTCAGCCTTAAAAACATGCTGCAACATGGATGCTGAGAAACATGCAGTCACAAGAGGACAAATACTCTGATGCCACTCATGTGAGCTAGTTAGAGTGGTCCAATTAACAGTGACAAGGTAGAACGGTGGTTGCAGAGGCTGGAGAGAGGGGAGAATGGGGAGTTGTTGTTTAATAGGTTTAGAGTTTGTCTTGCAAGATGAAAAAAGTTCTGGAGATGGATGGTGGTGATGATTGCACAACAATATGAATGTACCTGATCCTGAACTGTACACTTAAAAATGGTTAAAATGGTAAATTTTGGGGCTTCCCTGGTGGCGCAGTGGTTGAGAGTCCGCCTGCCGATGCAGGGGACGTGGGTTCGTGCCCCAGTCCGGGAGGATCCCACATGCCGCGGAGCGGCTGGGCCCGGGAGCCATGGCCGCTGAGCCTGTGCGTCCAGAGCCTGTGCTCCGCAACGCGAGAGACCACAACAGTGAGAGGCCCGCATACCGCAAAAAAAAAAAAAAAAAAAGGTAAATTTTATATTTATTTTACCTCAGTTTTTTAAAAAATGATTTACTGGGGGGTAGTACTGGGGAGCTTGATCTAGAAAAATAGGAGTCCGTGGTCAACATGAGATATTTTAAAATCATGATTTCAAAGACGGTGCTGTTATTGAGAATGACTGTGTCTGGCCTCTGACCATGGGAGCTATTGGATAAGGCAGAGGGCAAGGATGAAACACCAGAGGAGGGGAGGTCTAGGAACTGAAGCGCCTGAGTGTTGGGTAAACTTAGAGGAAAGTGAAATGACCACGAATCGTGACGGGAGAGATGATGAAGAGTGAACCAGGTGTGTGTGGAGGGTGGGATGGCGCTGACTAGGAATCCGGGCAGCCACGGCACCCTCACTGGGCGGTGGGGTTAAACGCTCAGGCGTGTTAGTGCACAGCGCCTAGCAACACGGGGCACTCCGATGTCAGCCATCACATTCCTACTTGTATTCTTGAGTTACAATACCAGACACTGTCCTGTAGACTTTTAAGTGCTTTCATTTGATCAAAAACATTTCTAACGTACTTCTAAAATAAGAATCGTAAGTCAGAACTTGAAGGAAAAATTCACTCTGGGTTATTTATTTCCTTAACAGATTTTATTGCCTAAGACAAGGGTAGGCAAACTTTTTCTGTAAAGGGCCAAAGAAAATATTTTAGGCTTTTTGGGGCCCTATGGCCTTTGTTGCAACTGCTCAGCTCTGCCCTTGTAGCAGGCAAACAGCCGTACACAGTTCATAAACAAACAAGCGTGGTATTGAAACGAAAGTACTGTTTAAAAAAACAGTGGGCAGTGGGTTATAGTTTGCTGACCCTTGGCCGAAGACAGTATTTATAAGGTAGTGATGTAGGGTTTCTGTACCTCACATGATATTCCTAAGGATTTGGTACGTTGTATTTAGTGATGCCTATTACAGTAAGATTATAATCTTAGACATAGGTGACCTTGCATCTTAACTAATCTTACCAAAGCCATGAAGCTATGGCTTCATATTTGTTATACACAATACTTGTTATGCTCTGATTATATAAGTCATTTCAAATAAAAGATCTTACTAGGTTTCAGGTCTAAAGATTGAGTAAACTTCTAAGAGGCAGAAAATGTTTAAAGCTACATTTTCTTATTGTGAATGACAGACATAACATACCTTGGTGCTCTCCTTCCCTGCAGTATTTGTATTTTAATCTCTTTCTTGTAAATTTTTAGGGATCCAGATTAGATGATCAAAGATGTGCTCCACCACCTGCTGCCACAAAGGGACCAACAGTACCAGATGAGGACTTTTTTAGCCTTATTTTACGGTCTCAAGCAAAAAGAATGGATGAACAGAGAGTTCTTTTACAAAGAGATCAAAACAGAGACACTGAATTTGGACCGAAGGACCTTTTGCAGAATAATGCTCTGTTGGAACTTGAAAATTCAGGAAAAAAATAAGCAAACCACTAGTATACAATGAATATCTTTTTTAAAGCAACCTTATTTCCTTTCAGAACACTGCAGGAAAATTCAATCTATTACTTTTTTCCTTCAAAGGAGAAATTATAGCACTGTACTGAGCTTAAAATGTTTTTAGCCTGATGTAAATATTTAACCTTTGATAGCATAGTATTAATTAACATTCCTCTGGACACTCATTTCAGGGTAGAGGTGGGATCTAGGGATCTGGGCCTTTGTTCTTTCTAAAAATCCTCCAGGTGATTTTTACGGGCAGTGAAAAGTCAACTTTTGTGATTACTGCTTGGGATTATGTTCTTCCGCAACTTGGTAGATTCCTTTACCTAGTATTTGTAAAGTAGGAAGTTAAATGACTCTATCCTAGGATTTAATCCTCTTGCTGAGGTAGATTTTTTTTTTTTACTTTTAATTGACAGTGGCTCTTTTTTATACCGATGTAGTAGGAAATTATGCTATTTCATAAAAATAATATACTTGACCAGTGTGTAAAAAATTATAGTCTATTAAAAAATCTAGATTTTTTTCCACTAAGAAAATCTCTATTTTCAATATAATTTTAGGCCAAAACCATTATAAAAGAAACTCTTAAAAATAAACTTCTTTAGCATGTTTTGGCCTCTGTGTAATTTTTTAAATAACTAATTTTTATATATTTACATATGTAAGTACAGATATGTATATATGTACATTGTGTGTGTGTGTGTGTGTGTATGTGTATGTATATAAAATGGTTTAAAATTGTATGTTCTGTTGCAAAATACTGTTGTAAAACTTTTTAGGACCTAATGTCAGAAAATCCAAAACCCTCATGTGACTGTCAAGAACGTAGGTCACAAAAATTAAGTACAAAAGACGTAGGTTAAGCCCTCAGTTGTCATTAAGCCTCTTCCCAGAAACTGAAGGTGGTTTTACAAGGGGACATAATGCAACATGACATAAGTTTAGCAAAAGCAAGTCAACAAGGATGGGACAGAGCTGGGCCTGGACTAAGGCTGAATTGCATAATACAAATGCCCACGCCTGGAACAAGTTGGCAACTCATTCACCTCTAGTTGCTTCTGATTCTACACAGCTGGGATGGGATCTAGGGATCTGGGCCTTTGTTCTTTCTAAACATCCTCCAGGCGATTTTTACGGGCAGTGAAAAGCACTTCTACAAATAGCTAATGTTTTAAAAAATGAGAAGAAAGATAGTTACACAATCTGGACTCACATTAAGGGCTCAGAGGAAAAAAAAAGATTACTCCTGGTTCTGAGATCAGACACAAATTTTGTCAAAAGTACTAACACCTGGATTATATTATGTTTTATGTATTATATATAGGGTATAATGTCCTGGATTAGCATCCTTTTAAAACCTGCACTTAAATTCCATTGGGCTTTTTCTTACAAGCCTATTTACTGAGCAAAGACAGCATACCAAACCACAATAATGTAAAAATAAGTGTTTATTTTGTGTATATGGTAGTTCTCAGACCCTGTAAACATTCAGCGTTATCCATTCCACTTAAAAACTGCTTTTGAAAAGCTATCTGCCCCACTCTGATTTTTCTAAAAGCTCGTTACTATCATCCTTGATTTTAATGATAAATATTGGCTAGACAATAAACAAGGCTGTTTCTTCTAGTTATAAACTGGCCTTGATATATTCAATTTGCTTTAATAAGTCTTCCCTGAATTGCTGTCACCTTTCAACAGCAGTACCTTGCTGCCCTGCTGTCAAAGTAGATTTCACCCCCAAATGGTTATCTGTAATGAAAGAATACAAAGGTGAACTTTCTCTTAAATTTTCTTTTAAAGATTCATTTTTGGATAGATAAAAAGCAGTCAGAAGTGCAAAACAACATTAACTGTACTCTCACAGTTACAGTCTATAAACTGAGGCATTCATTTCACAGCTCAGAGGATAATTAGCACCTTCAGAGCATACAATCAGTGTGAACAGGCCTAGCCCCCAGATGACTATATTCATCAATGTTCACAAATCTATCCCAAACTGCTGGCATCCCTACATGCCTACTATGTTATAAAGTTTTATATAAAATCCTTTTGCATTTCTTGGAGAAAATTACCTTTCTGATGAAATACTGTTTGCAGTACGAAGCTAGAAAACAATATTAACACATAAAATTAAATCGTTACAGGCATCTAAGTGATGCTTCTGGGAGCCAAAAAGCGGGTATTTCTGCATTTCACGTAAAAAAACATATCAAAAAGCAAATGCTGGGCTTCCCTGGTGGCGCAGTAGTTGAGAGTCCGCCTGCCGATGCAGGGGACACGGGTTCATGCCCCGGTCCGGGAAGATCCCACATGCCACAGAGCGGCTGGGCCCGTGAGCCATGGCCACTGAGACTGCGAGTCCGGAGCCTGTGCTCCGCGACGGGAGAGGCCACAGCAATGAGAGGCCCGCGTACTGCAAAAAAAAAAAAAAAAAAAAAAAAAGCAAATGCTTTAAATACATCTTTTTTTCTGAAAGAAATGCCTGCATGAAAATTTTAAGACCATTCCTGACTGCTATCATTTTTAGTAAGCAGCTGAATATAAATTGTAGTGTGAAGGTTAAGATAAAGGATACCCGAATATGTGTAATACATGTGCTTCCTAGTTAGATCTTGTGCAAAATTTATAAATTCCTTTTTTAGAAAGTTTAAAATGAATAGTTTAAAAATCAGAATAACTAATTTGAAATGTTGATTATATCACCTGTCTAGGGTTAAAAAAACCATCCTACTCTGTTTTCCTTATTGTGGTATTTATTCCTCTCTTTGTATAGATCTCTAAAAATTAGAACTTCATATGGCTTGGACAATATGGTTTACTGTAATATAAATAAGATATAGTAATATCTAACAATCACAACTGCTGGGATTCTGAGTAGCAAGGAAAACAGGTCTTATAAAGCCTGTGTACTTCATCTGCTGGGGAAATAAAGCCATTCTCAAAGGATGTAAAACTGAGATTACTGACTTAACAAGCTATGTAATCTAAATTCCCCTGACACTCTTCAGTTCTGTCTTAGCTAAGGATAAAGTAAAGGGGGTGATAAGGAAGCAGGCCCAGTAATAGCGGTAAGAGTTGAGAGATGAAGGCTGATCTGCAGGCAGCCTACACGAGGCAGACTGACACTGGTGATGCAGACTCCGTGGCTGCACTAAAATGCTGAAGTGAATGAAGAGGGTAAGCATGACTACAGTGACTTTCCTTAAATGTTGGTTTTGAGTACCTACCACGTGAAATATTCTGAGTCCAGTGCACAACAAATAATTCTGTTAACTAAAGTAGGTATCACAGGACTTCGACGAGGCAACACACACTTTGGTGAGTTGGTTCCTATATGTGCCTGTAAACAACAGAACTTCTTTTTCAATGTCCCCTAATTCAGACTGGCCTCTTTGATTATTCAAAATCATTAATGCTTGCCATATGTCATCTATGAGATCCTGTTCCAGAATTAACACTTCAAAACTTTATAGGATGCATCTTAATATCAAAGAAAGATGAAATTAAACAGAGATACATGTGTGCTTGTTAATTCTGATTATGAGTAAAAATACTGATGTTTAAGTTGGCACCTGTGTAGTAAATAACAGAATATTTGTAGAGAAGAAGAAATAGCTGTGAGGAGTATACTTTACAAAACTCAAAGATGACCTCAGAGCTGTGGTCCATGTCTGTGTTCCTCTAGCCACATGGGCTGCAGTCTGGATCCCTTCCACACACCCTCACTGCAGTGCTGGGCTGGACGTGCTGCCTTCCTCTGGGCCGCCTGTGGCGTCAGTCCTGAGCTGGGCCTTTTCCACTGCAGGGGAACCTTCCACACACTCTGGTATCTTTTGGCCAGAGACAGGCTTAGCAGACTGGCTGCTTTCAGTCAGTGTGCTTTCTCCTGAGATTCCACCAATTTCTTTGGGCTTTGTATCCAAAATAGGTGATTTATGCTACAAAGTAGAGAATTACAGTGTTTTAATTGTTTAATTAACATAATGTGAAAGTTCGTAATAAACATGTTCAACAAGTTCCCACACAAATCTGTTATAGCAAACGTTGAACTCTTTCAAGTCCTGGTTCCAGTGCTGGATTGTAATTATATAAATGTTATTAAGCCTCACAGAACTGTACATGGAGGAATGGGAAACTCAGGATATGCCAGGTGGTCTAGTGATGCAGCTTAAGGAAGGGTCAGGAAGACTCGTGACCAGTACTGCTAACTCCTCTTGCTAGGGAGAATAATTCATTCAACAAATATTTACTGAGCATACATTAAGTTCGAGGTGCTGGGGATACAAGACAACAAACAGACAAAAACCCCTGCCCTCCCTGGAATTTACATTTAAGCTGGGGAGAGAATCAGGCAATAACTTAACAAAGTATCATGCTGGGGGTGGGAGGGTTGGATAGCTGTTTAAATTAGGGCGGTCTGAAAAGATGACATGAGCAAAGGCTTGAAGAAATGAACCTTATGAATATATTGGGAACAGCATTCTAGATAGTGAACAGCAAGTACAAAGGCTTGAGTTCAAGGAATAGGCAGGAGGCCCTTGTGGCTGAAGGAGGATGAGGGTGGAGGGGGCGCAGGAGGAGACAGCAGCGTGGTAACAGAGGTGGGAAGCCCTAGGCCATCTTGATATCTTTGGCTTTCCCTTCAAGTGAGCCCAGAACTCACTGGAGGAGTTTTGAGATGAGTGACAGATAACCATTAACTATTAAAGCTGAAAGGAACATCTTAATTTTCTAGACGCAGGCAGATATGTTCTTCTAAGGAACTCCATGGGAAGGGATTCTACAATTTCCTAGATTCTACTGCGCTTCTTACTATTTCTCAAAGGTTTGCGTCTGCAACCTAAACTTTGCAAATGACAATACAAAGTCCTCTCTCAAACAGAAATGGAAATGTCCCTTTAAATGGCCAATAATGGTGGAAAAGAGGCCTCACCATTCCACAGGTAAAAAGTATAGTCTAGCCAGCCAACGATATAAAAGATTTGGGAAAGCGAGGTTTTTGGTCCTTTCCCAGCTCACTCTTCATCTACCTAAGGCTTCAGGGCTCTCCTGCGGGTTGGCTCCCTAAGGCTCCAGGCCTTCAGTGAGGACTTCTCTCTGATCTCTTCAAAGGTAGAAATTTCAGTCATGCTCACTTGTTGGTTTCCTATGAAATGTCATTATGAATTACCATCTGTTCCAACAAATTACTGTTAAATACTATTTAACATAAAAATTAAATCTCATTTCTTCTGAGGAGGCTGGACTAACTTTCAACCAGAAAGGGGGAGAGTGAATAATTATTATCACTGGTGATATAATTAACCATGAAAAGTAAAAGCACTTAACCAAAAGCACTATAGGAAGCACTTACACCTAGTATGAAGGGACAGCGAAATAAACAGTTGCTGACTTACACTGGGTACCGCCTTGGGATGCTCTCTCGCCTCTGCGTCTGGTAAATCAAATGCCGGAAGCACTTCAAGGCTCTTGTTGCCAGTCTGAAATCTCAAGTCAACATCTCTCTTTCTCAAAACATCTCTTCTACCCTCACATGTTTTGTCATTAGGGCCTTGCTCAATGGGGCCAATTTGGCCCCTGTAATAGAAATCTGCATCACCTGCTCCACCATGGGGTCTATAATCAATTTCCTGCTGCCATCTTCTTTCACCTGGCTGAAGTGCCTGGGGTGGTTCTCTTTCAGGGCCACCCACATGTCTCAGCATATCAACTGATTTTCCAGCACCATAGCAGAAACTCTAGAAGGAAAAGAAATACATATTCCTGAGTACTTAATGGCTGACTTACAACGAAATTTTGAGGTGCTTTCCACGGTGCCAACAAAATTTCATAACTTGTGGCATTTATAGACGTAAACATCTTAATTTCACTGGATTTTCTCTAGATTAATACAGGGCCAGAGTAGCCAATAAAATTTGAGAAATCGCCAAGTATTAAGCAGACATTTCAATCAGCTGGACACATTTTTATTGAATTATAACAGCAGTTAGGCTAAAGCCTAGAAATTTAAAAGGTATTAACTGTCTGATCATTGCTCATGTGTTGTCTACATTCACACGCATCATATAAGGCAAATGCTGAAAATTAAAGTTGTACACCATTATGTAAATATTCTCCTGTAGGTTTATTTTTTACAAACTCGCTTTAGCTACAGCTAAAATTCAACAGGTTTTGAGTCACACCCCAAGGGAAAAACTAGGCAGCAGTTCTCAAAGTGTGGCCCAGGGACCCCTCAGGGGATCTCTGAGACTCTCAGGAATCTGTGAGGTCAAAAGTTTTCATAATACAAAGACATTAGTCTTCTTCACTCTCCTCTTGTACAGCAGAGTCTTGTGGGGCTACAGTGACTGCCTCACTCTGATGGCTCATGCACTGTGTGCTTGTGTATACTTGTATTTTAAAAATTTCTGGTAAATATCAATAAATAAACCTCCCACAAACAAGTGCTCTTTGTGGTGTTCAATTCTGAAGAATACAGAAGGGTCCTGAGAACAAAAAGTTTGAAAACCACTGTACTGGAGATACTACTCTTTGAAGACAGAGCAGCAAAAGGCCTTTTCTTAGGCAGCAGATGAAGCAACAAGCGATGAAGGGGTTTTGCTTATAATTTCAGTCTTAGAGACTAAACTACTACTATACAACTAATGTCACCTAACAAAACCATATCCCTAAACCAATGAATCCTAATCACAAGCCAAAAAACAAAACAAGAATAATTTTTAAGTAAATAGATCATAGTGAATTTTGTATCCTTAAGGGAAGACAATTCTTTAATAATTTCCCCAGGCACATCTGAGTTCTTTGCATTTTGTTTTATGAGACAACTGCTTTATTAGGGTAAGGGCTGAAAATCAACCAAAAAAAGAGCTGAAGAGACCATGGATGACTGACAAGTAATACTGTAATATTCCTTAATAAATGTCTGCTCCTGGATCCCCCAAATTGTTTCTTAGTACACCCACCTCTTTCTACATCCCTTTCTGATGCTATGTTAAACCCACTGTTCTTCTGTTCTCAGTGCGGCAAAAATTCAGACTGAAATAAGGTCCCCTTTCTCAAAGAAGACATAACTGATATCATGTGTAGTAATTCATGAAGTTTAAAGAACAAATGTTAAAAGAGGGTATTATTCTAAATCACCGCTTTGACATCTACAATCAAACTTGAGAACCGTTTTCTTGCTTAGAGGAATGTACAAGTAAGTATAAACAAACATTTATCACTTAAAAATCATCTTTTCATACCATTAAGCATGACTTAGCCTGATTTACAACATAAAAGAAACCTAATAATTTCAGAATTGCCTTTTTTCTGTAAATCCTGTTAATTGTTAACAGTGCTATATACTAACCAGGACAGCTAATGCCATAATTATCAGCACTGGAATCTGTAGTAACACTGGGATCTCCTTCATGAGTGCTTTAATAAATTCACCAGTTCCTTTTCCAATATGCTTCAATGGCTCCGTGACAAAGTTGGTGAATGTAACTGCTAGTGCCTACAACAAAAGATAAAAACAACTTAATTTTTTTCCTCAAAGGATTGAGGCATATAGAATAAGCCATAATCAACTGTACTGAGGCTGAAATTATGAAATTCCATACATTTAAATGTTATCATATACTTTTCATGTGAAAATCACTGTGTAATGGAAGTATTTTTTCTAGAACAAAGGTTTATTATTAGCAAAATGATGGTAAAAAACACTAACAATTTTTAATAAATACAGAGACTTTTTACTTGCTTTGTATAAGTAATTTTCACAAAATATATTCTAACCTTTGTTGGTGGGACCAACCAAATAGGGTTGACTAATAAGAGCTCATAGTATTTTTGGCATGAGTCATCCTTATAGGTCCATGAACTTCTAAGCCATTCTATTTAGAGAAACAAAAACAGTCATTTTTTTAAAAAGTCATATTTCATTCCCAAATAAGACAATATTTTAGTTTTAACTGTCCCTCTCCCCACAACCCCCAATCAATTTTAAATTGTTTTGCAAACAGTCTCCCACTAACAGTGATTTTTAAAAATTTCATCTTATGTCCAAAATGTTTATTTTAAAAATCCATTCAAATTATACAACTCTTATACAGGTAAAATATATTTTATTAAGATTTCTAAAAGGTAAACAAAAACAGTTCTTTACACACACAAAGGAATCCAAGTAAAACTGGGGAAATCTGAGTAAGATTGGTGGCTTGTATCAAAGTCGATATCCTGGTTGTGATACTGCACTATTGTAAGTATGCAAGATGTTACCAGTGGGGGAAGTGGGTAAAGGGTACACAGGATCTCTGTTTCTTACAGCTACCTGTGAACCTACAACTATGTCCAAACAATTTCAATTAAAAATGTCAGTTCTTTACTTATTTTACAAAATAAAGTAGAACATTAGTTCTCTCACTTTTTCTAAATCAGACTCATGTACATTATGTACTAGCAAGAGCTACAGGAGGCATTTAGTTGTCCCCTGAAGCCAGGAAGCAAGGCTGGGCTGGTTTGGCTCCCATATCTTTTCAAGAAAATTAATTTTTTGGACACCTTGATTTGTTGCTGAGATTCTATTCTGGGTCAGTCATTAGAGACTTGCATTTATAAAGAGACTTTGATCATCAAACCATTCCCACTGTTAGATACCTATAACTAAAGGCAGTCAACATTAGTGAGTGTTCATAAAATTTGTAAGAAAAAGTAAAATAATTCCTAATTTTAAAAAAAAACAGTATAGTAAAGCTACAATAAGATTTCACACGTCAATATAAGGAGATTAAATCGAAGATGGAAATGAATTCATATATACATTGATTCACTTCTCTAATAAACTTCTGCTGAGGACCCAGAATGTGCTAGACACTGTGCTAAGGACTAGATGAACAAAAGTGAGTCTAATGCAGGGAGACAGATAATATAAGAGCCAGCAATATACACACTTTCTATCCCTTTCCTGTCACATTACATGAACACAGAAGTCACTGGTCTGAAACCTAAGACGCTTCTTGCCTGTTCTGATACTAAAGATTCAGTCATAGAAAGCCTCCTTCTGGCATTTTATCATTTCTTTGTAATTATTAATATGTTTTTTCATTCTCAGAAATTCTACTCAAAATAAGGCCAAGGGAACCAACACCTTACCCAAGAGACTTCCAGTCCAATCCATGTTCTCAGCACAGACATTGTTTAATGGCTCCATCTTGGCAACTTCAGCCTGATGCTGGGCAAAGGCTAGCTGACCAACACCAAAGGGAACCATGAAAGGCTGCTAACAATGAAGGTTACGCCTACACATCCTAAAAACCTTAGTTCAAAGTGTGTCTTCACCATTCACCCAAACCAGATTATTTAAAAATTTTTCACAGAAAAAAATATATTATTTTTTAAAAGTGGCTCTTTTCAGCTCATGGCAAAACAGTCTTAATGCAACAGGTAAAGAACTAACTACAATTGCCTTCTTTATAAAGTAATTATGAGGAGGAAGGAAAACGTTTTTACTAAAAAGATTGTTTTAAAAATTAGTTCAAATACAGCTGATATCATGCCCCCAAAGATAGCTATACATATTAAACGACTACTCATTCTCTTATACAATTCATGACAAAATGGTGTTTTGCTTTGGATGATTTTTAGCACAAATGACAAATATGCCTTTTAAAAATAAAAGCCCCGGGGGAAATCATTGAGAGAACAATTTTCAACCAAACTACCTTATTTCCTCCAATTTGTAAATACTTAGTTCTAGAAGCTATAGAACTTAGAGCTAAGGAAATATCACAATGATTTAATCAGATGAATTCACTGAAAATAGTTGGCTACTTGACTCACCCTGCTAAAAAGGTCTAAAATTTTCCTTAAATGATTATGCTATTTTGACAGGAACAATAATGTTTCTTCAAATTTCTATATATAATGTGGTCCTGATTTTTAAAGAATTAAAAATTTGGAAAAAGTTTATAAAGAAATACCTCGGGGCGTCCCTGGTGGCACAGTGGTTGAGAATCTGCCTGCCAATGCAGGGGACATGGGTTCGAGCCCTGGTCTGGGAAGATCCCACATGCCGCGGAGCAACTAGGCCCGTGAGCCACAACTACTGAGCCTGCGTGTCTGGAGCTTGTGCTCCGCAACAAGAGAGGCCGCGACAGTGAGAGGCTCGCGCACCGTGATGAAGAGTGGCCCCTGCTCACCACAACTAGAGAAAGCCCTTGCAAAGGAACGAAGACCCAACACAGCCCAAAATAAATAAATAAATAAAATTTTAAAAAATGGTTAAGATGGTAAATTTAAAAAAAAAAAAAAAAGAAAGAAATACCTCAAAATATCTACAGTGATTATCTCTAGGTGGTAAAATTATAGACAATTTTATTTTATTTTTTTGCCACTGCACGCAGCTTGCGGGATCTTAGTTCCCTGACCAGGGATCGAACCCAGGCCCCCAGCAGTGAGAGTGCCGAGTTCTAACCACTGCACTGCCAGGAAATTCCCTAGACAATTTTTAAGAATTAAATTTCTCTGTATCTTTCTATCTTTCCTATCTTCTCTACCATAAATATACCACTTTTATATTCAGAAAATAAACTAATTTTAAAAAACAGTATTTTGGTATCACTTCTAGCAAACAAAAAGACATACCCCAAATTACCTACATGAGAATTTTTCAAGTGTGTCTACATAACTCTATTCTGATTTAGCTGTCCAGATGCCACCCAACATCAGGAATTGGGTTATGAAAATCAGGACTGCACATTTTTCCCCACTAACTGGTCAAGGACCCAAAACACCAGGGACACCTGAGCAGCTGCCAATTTCCTCACCATCACCACCTCTAATCACTGCCTCCTGCCCTCGTCTGAGGCAAGATTATATACTAGCTCTAAATGGATTACAGTCTTTCATTATGAAGTAACGTTTGAAAATTTAAAAACCTTCTATCTATACAATACCTTATATAAATACATCCAATTCCATCCCAAACTGATGAGAAAACTGATGAATAAAACACGTCTCAACTGGGTGTACCAACGAACATATGTCCACAGCTCAGTAGCTACTAACACCACGATGCAGAGCAGACACAGAAGCATCTCAAAAACAGAAACAGAATAGAAAGAAGAGTCACCGCCAAGCCATCCTTCCCCAAAACAACACTGATCGTCAGCAAAAACAAAAGAACTGGACTTGAATACGCAAAATCATTTGTACCATTTTGCTGCATGTTCGTCAACCCAGTAACAGTGACTTAGTATGAGTTCTCAACATAATTATGGTGGGGTTTTTAAAGTGTTTTAAAAAACAAAAACATGTTAAAATAAAAACATGTTAATCATGTCCCCCTCATCCCATCTTACCATGAATACATTATATGGATCCACTCCAAAGGAATCTTCAAATCGCCACTTCCATGTTTCAAAATTATGAAACTTAAAATTAATTAAAATATCACTTAGTGCATCATCCAAGGCTCCTGGCTTCCAATCCTCTCCACTGAGAAACTTTTGTATTTCTAACAAGGTTTGTCTCTTAAGGATAATCTCGGCATCATAATGCATATCACCTTTGTTTTCATCAGGCTGAATTAAATTTGCCAGAAAAAAAACAAACAGAAAAGGAGAATTTTATCATTACTCAATGAAATATTTTAAGACAAAAGCTAATTTGGAACTAAATATATAATTAGTTCACAATATTTCACAGGTATAAAATAAGAGGAATAATATCTACCTGTCTGACTCACAGGCCAACATGAAAACCAAAGATAATAACGTGAAAAACACTTCAAAAATTATAAAACTCTATGCAAGTAACATACAGTACATTTTACTAAATTACAGTTGATTCCTGCTATCTGCAGTACTTACATTCTATAAAGTCACCCTGAACACTAGTTAGCAAATACTGAACCATGGCTCCTACAGGAAATACAGGGTTAGGTTCCTGCAAGCACATTTTCATCAACCAATCAATTCATAACCCTTTTATGTTACTGTTTAAAGACACCTTAATATAGGGACTTCCCTGCTGGTCCAGTGGGTAAGACTCCACGCTCCCAATGCGGACGGCCCAGGTTCAATCCCTGGTCTGGGAACTAGATCCCACATGCATGCCGCAACTAAGAACCCTGTGTGCTGCAACTAAAAAAAAAAAAACCATCCTGCATGCCACAACTAAGACCCAGCGCAGCCAAAATAAATAAATATTGAAGGAAAAAAAGGAAAGAAATTAAAAATATATATAAATAAAGACACCTTAATATATATACTGTGGATCCATTAACACTGAGCTCATAGCCAACAGCACTATGACTAATGACTGAACTAAGCTTAACTAACAAGGGAATTTTCTTTAAGGCACATCTCAGCCTTCTTGTGCTTAGGAACACTAGACAGCATAACACTTGGGAGATTTTTTTTTTTTTTTTTTCTGCAGTACGCGGGCCTCTCTCACTGTTGTGGCCTCTCCCGTTGCGGAGCACAGGCTCCGGACGCGCAGGCTCAGCGGCCATGGCTCACAGGCCCAGCCGCTCCGCGGCATGTGGGATCTTCCCAGACCGGGGCACGAACCCGCGTCCCCTGCATCAGCAGGCGGACTCTCAACCACTGCACCACCAGGGAAGCCCGGGAGATTTTTAAACAGCAAAATTTTAAAAATTAAAAAATGAAAGCCCGAAAAAATAAACAGACCACATAAAAGTACTTGTTTATAACATGAGAGCTGAAAACAAGAAGGCAAAAAATGGCCTTGTTTCACCTCAGCTGAGAATGGGCTCACTGAGCAACTCAAACGTTTTGTCGCTCCGCGCATATCTGAAAGTGACCACAAAAGCAGGAGTACTGATTCTGAGGTTACAAATAAAGTTTAATATTTGAAATATTCAAAAATATGGAATCCACAAATAATGAGGATAAACTATCATTATTTTATGATTCCATTTATGACTTTCCATTTGCTGACACAGTTTTCAAATAGCCTAAAATTTGCAGTAGTACAAATAAGAAAAACAAAAAGGATCTCAAAAAGCAGCAAAATCTGGTTTCCATAAAATGCATGACAGTCACAACTATATTACTGAGAGTTCAGGTTAGCAAAATCATTATAAACATTATCTTTTCTAATAGTAAATACTGATATTTATATTAAAAAGTAAATATAAAATGAGAAAAACCAAAGTGTCATGTAATATCACAAATCATCAGTAAGTATAAAAAAGCATCCATTGATTAATATTTCTAAAAAACCAGGAACGAAATATTCCAAGCATCTCCATCTTGAGTATTTTCTGACTCTACCTGTTTCCTCATCTATAAAATAGACTCTTTTCCACCTTGCACTCAGTTATAAGACTCAAACTGAAGGGTGTACATGTGAGTACATCTGCTTTTACATCTCCAAAATAAGGTGGGATTACTATTCATCTAACACCCCCTTTTTTTAAGTTTTCTTGATGTTTCGACTCCTCAAAGTGAAAACAATGACTCTAAAAAATGGAATCTTAACATTAATCATGAACAGTATGTGCCTGATATGTAATTTCTATAAAGCAGCCTTGCCACAGTAAACAGCTAGGGGGAAAAAACTACTTAAAACACACTTTTCTTTTTCTCAATATGTAATATTACATCATCTGAATAAGAAAGTGTGGAAGTGGTAGAAAACAGGAAGTAAGGACTGGGATAGAATTTCCTTACCAAGTCATGAGTTTATTAAGTTTCTAACTGTTCAGTAAAGTTCAAATAGCAAATTTAAAACAATCTCCCTCTGGACTTCCCCTTCACCTTCCAATACAGGGAGGTGTGTGTTCAATCCCTGGTTGAGGAACTAAGATCCCACATGCTGTGCAGTGCAGCCAAAATTTAAAAAAAAAAAAAAAACCCCTCTCCCTCCAACTCAATTAAGTGGTAGGGCAGTGCACAGAGTAAGTAAATCCCCATGAACTACAGGAAAAAGAGGAGGGATCTGCACTGCTCACTTGCCTTCCACCAAACCACTGTAAAGCAGGCAGCTGCCTTCAATCCTGCATGAATAGGTTTTGGTAAAAGGGTGAGTCAGGTATTCTCTGTTGAAGCATAATGATGCTTTGCCACTGCTTGATATAATGTGAAATTAATAAATAATGAAAATATCCACTACACTGATTAGTATCACAGCACCAAATACTCACAAGGCCAAGCTTTCTGGTTTCAATTAAAATCTTATTTAAGTATCTCCTAAAAACAGGATTGCTTTGACTTTCACAGTCTTTTCTCATCTGCTTTTCACACTCATCGATCTGTAACCACAAAATAAATACAACATTAGTTAGCGTCAAAGTTTAATGTAATAAGGGTCAAGTTTCTAGCCTAGTGGTCCCATTGAGATCAAAGTAAGGAGCTCGTTATTTTTTATCAAGCTCGCATTAAAATGTAGATCTCACCTGCTTCTTGTGGGTTCTCTTTGCAAAGGGCAAGTAGGCAACAAATAAGGAACACATGTCCCACACTGTACCCTGACTGGCAGTTTTCTTGCTGACTTTCAGCAATTTTAAAACTGAAGATCATGGGCTTCCCTGGTGGCGCAGTGGTTGGGAGTCCGCCTGCCGATACAGGGGACACGGGTTCGTGCCCCGGCCTGGGAGGATCCCACATGCCGCGGAGCGGCTGGGCCCGTGAGCCATGGCCGCTGGGCCCGTGAGCCATGGCCGCTTGGCCTGCGCGTCCGGAGCCTGTGTTCCGCGGCAGGAGAGACCACAACAGTGAGAGGCCCGCGTACCACAAAAAAAAAAAAAACCTGAAGATCATGAAACAAGGAAGCAGAGATGTGGACAAGCAGAACATCTGGACCAATCTGCCTCTTCCTAATTCCAAAGTAATGGTTTAACAAAGAAAGGAATGAAAGGAAAAAGCGGGGGAAAAATAACCCAGAAAGAGAGGACAAAGAGAAACAGGGATAGCATGAAGCCGGAAAATGAAGGACACAGCAAAGATTTTCTTGAATGTGCATATTACTTTTGGCCTTTTATTAATTTTTCCTGCCAACTATCGATCACACCCTACCATATGTCAGGAACCATGGCTTCTCCAGAGTGTCCTACACATGGCACCCCCTCTGCACAGAGTCCTTCATTAGAACAGACTTCCTCTGAAATTAGCTCTACAAACAACACCGTGGCCTAGTCTCTGAGGGAGGGTAGTGCACATCTTACAGACATTTAGAACCTGTGAAAAAGTACTTTTTACTTGAGTGTGGACCACAAGTTGCACGGAGCACTGAAGTGGGCTTCAGATGATGAACATACAGAGCAGCACACACAGACTCAGGACAGAAAGACACTCAAGAAGTCACAGGGCAGTCTCCTCTGCTTTCAGGCAAGGTTAACAAACCCTAAGAATATTTAGTTTCTTTTTAAGAGAAACAATTTTTTAAGAGAAACGATTTTTTAAAAACAAAGACTAAAGACTCCATTTTACCAATCATGTTGTTACAACGTTTGAACCAAAGTCACAAACAATGGAATGAAAAATTTCAGTAAAAAGGCATTTCTCCATTTCCTAACATCCAGCCAAATTAATTCACTACACCACAAAATGCAGTTAAGACTGAAGCAAATTTTATCCAAGCATTTCTTTGCTAGCACTCGGGTGAGAAAACATTCACATTTGGTAAGAACCACAAGCAGCTGCTTATAGATCTCGAATTCAGATATATCTGGATCTCAATTAAAAAGCCCTCCCAATCTCTCAAGCTGGAAACCTCCCTCATTCACGCTAGCCTTCCCTATCCTTTTCCCCTCCTCCCTCAACCATCACAACTTGCTTATTCTACCACGGAAAAGTTGCACGCTTTCCTCTTCTCTTCACCCCGTCACTGCCTCAGTGTGAGCCTCCAGTGTCGCTGGACCTCTGCCATCCCCCCCATCCCAGCCCCCTCCACACTGCCACCAGCACCCTGCCTCACAACCAACTGAGGTGGGTTCCCGCAGCATAACCTGTGTTCAAACTCCCCAGCAATCTTGACTTACTTCCTCTCTCATAAACTCTACTTCAGCCACATAAAGGACTGAATAAATGAATAGCTACCACACACTAAATTATAATAATCCCTTATATTTATAAGAGCAACTCTTATGCTTAGAAACTAGCAGTAGAGCCATTTCTTCATTTGCTATATTTGTTGTTACTACAGCCCAGCATTGCAACAGGTGATAGAGCATCACCTTGTCCCATTCCTTGTCCCAAGAAATTTTCAGTCTGGTAAAGAAATAATTACTGCATAGTGAGATGTTATTACAGCAAAATAGAAGTACTATTTTAAAAATCAAAGGCCAGAGTAACTAAAGAAAAATAACCCATATATATGTCAATTGTAGTTTAGATAGAAACACAAATAATGTTAGCAACGACAGGAAAACAGAGAGCAATTTAACATACTATAAATAATACAAAAATCATGAATAAAAAAACCTAACCTTATAAGTTAAAGAATCAAGTCTGCTGTAACATTCTGACAATTCATCAGCATGTGATAAGTCAGGACTGACCTCTTCTTTCTCTGATATACCATACTTCACCTAAAGCAAAGGAGAGAGAGATTTTCTTTCTTCATAGTTCAGTTGTAAAAATAACCTACAGTTAATGAGACTAAAATTTTTACTTCATCATTTTATGGCTTTGCTCATTATATTCCTCAACTGTATTAAACCACCAAAAAAGTAAGAGCCTCAAATTTATACACTAGCTAAGAACTAAAATCAAATTAGTTTGCTTCTCGACGGGCTTTACATTCAAATTTGAAACAGAAATAAACAGATGAGGTTGAAATCATCTTAGACTAGGAGGCAAGAAGACATTCTGCATGATTGCTAATCATTGATATAGGATTCTCATAGCTCTGTGAAAAACAATAACAAAAGTAGACTATTTCCATCACAGGACTGATAAGGTGTTATACACACATGCATTTTTTAAATACCTGAGATTTTCTCATTGTTCCTGAAGCAGCATCATAGTTAAGCATGTCTGTGGGGTCAATCCAGTCATCATCATGAGCATAAGCAGTTATCAGCCACAGACATTCACAAAAGAGCACAGAACACAGCATCCTGCATGAAGGCTACAAAAATTAATAGATACAGTGAAGTATGATTACTTTTGAAGGAAACTGTTTTAATAAAAACAATCCACTTCCTTCTAGTGTTAAGATAATGCTTTCTTAATAATAACTGAATTAAAAATATTCAGTTAAGTGGTATTCGCATAAAAACACACACATGCACACATATTCTATTCTCACTGAGACAAAAAGTATACATAAGATTTTCTAAGTGATTCAGCAATTCCACTTCTAGGTATATCTCCAAGAGAAATGAAAATATACGTCAACATAAAAACTCGTACACAAACATTTATAGTTGCATTATTCACAATAGCCAAAAAGGAGAAACAACCCAAATGTCCCTAAACTGATGAATGAGTACCATACAGTGGAATATTATTAGGCCATAAAAAGGAATGAAGTATTGATACATGCTACAACATGGATGAATCTTGAAAACATCATGCCATGTGAAAAAAACCAGTCACCAAAAACCATATATTATATGATTCCATTGATACAAAATGTCCAGAATAGGCAAATCTATGCAGATTGGTAGGTATATAAGTTTGAGGATATAATAAGGGACAGAGGGGTGGTAGTTAAATGGTACAGGGTTTTTTCTGATTGAAGTATAGTTGATTTACAATGTTGTGTTAGTTTCTGCCATACAGCAAAGTGACTCAGTTATACATACGTATACATTCCTTTTTATATTCTTTTCCATTATGGTTTATCACAGGATATTGAATATAGTTCCCTGTGCTATACAGTAGGACCTTGTTATTTATCCATTCTATATATAATAGTTTGTGTCTGCTAACCCCAAACTCCTAATCCATCCCTGCCCCACCCCTTGGCAACCACAAGTCTGTTCTCTATGTCTGTGAGTCGGTACAGACTTTTTTGGGTTTTTTTTTCAATTTTATTTATTTAATTTATTTATTTTACTTTTGGCTGCATTGGATCTTCGTTGCTGCGTGCGGGCTTTCTCAAGTTTTGGCGAGCAGGGGCTACTCTTCATCGTGGTATGCGGCCTTCTCATTGTGGTGGCTTCTCTTGTTGTGGAGCACGGGCTCTAGGCGTGCGGGCTTTAGTAGCTGTGGCACGCAGGCTCAGCAGTTGTGGCTCGCGGGCTCTAGGGCACAGGCTCAGTAATTGTGGCGCACGCGCTTAGCTGCTCCACGGCATGTGGGATCTTCTCAGACCAGGGCTCGAACCCACGTCCCGTGCATTGGCAGGCGGATTCTTAACCACTCTGCCACCAGGGAAGTCCCCGGTACACAGTTTTTGATGAAAAACTCTGATGAAAAGTTTTAGATAGTGATGAAAAACGATCTAAAATTAACTGTGGTAATGGTTGTACATATCTGTGAATATACTAAAAACTGCTGAATTGTACAATTTAAATGGGTGAATTGTATAGTATGTGAATCATTTCTCAGTAAAACTGTTTTAAAGAAAACAGGTATTTGAACCAAACCCTCCCCATCTCCCATTTTTTAAAAAAATGGGAAATTTAAAAGGTGCAAAATTAAGATTCAAATGATGTGACTGAACTCTCAAACAGAGAAAACAGCTTGCTTCATCTAAGCCTCTGCATAAACACCCTCAAATCGTATCTCAAAACACAGTATCTCCTCTATTCAAGTGTCCAACACAGTAGTCATTAGCCACATGTGGCTACTGAAATTTAAATTAATTAAGATTAAGTTACATTGAAAGTCAGTTCCTCATTCTCACTAGCTGCATTTCAAGTGCTCAGTTGTCACATACGGCTAGTGGCTACCAAACTGGACAGCGCAGATACAGAATCCTTCCACCACTGCAGAATGTTCTGTCAGACAGCCTCTCTTATACCTTACTCTGAATACGGATCAGGTGGGGGATTTCTAAGAGGAGAATGCCCTGGGCCCTGCCCATAAATGGCTTACACTCTAGCTGCAGGAATAAAAGTAACTCCAGGCTAAACTAAACACTCTTTTGTGTTCCTGGTGTGCTCTGTTTCTTCTTCTAGAGTATCACACACTGAAATTAACCACTTACTGGGCAGTCTCATCCCTTAGCACCGCGGCTCTCAGTCTTGGCCGTGCATTAGAATCACCTGGGAAGCTTCTTAATCCTCCAATCTTCTGGCCACATCCCAACCCAACTGAATCAGAATCTCTAGGCGAGGGACCCAAGCATTGGGATTTTTAAAGCTCCCCACCGGGTTCCATCACACAATGAAGGTAGAAAACCACTGCACTGTAACGTGAACTTTTCCAGGGAAGGTAACATCTTACTCAAGTCTAAATTCACCTTCCCAATGCCCTCTCCATCTTGCCCCCTCCATCTCTCCAAGCCCAACACTCAGCCCAGTGGCCAGCAAGTGAAAGACATTCAGCAAATGTTTGTTAAGCCGCAAATGCAAATGATCAAAGCCTCAGCAGGGATTCAAAGTGTTTTAGGGGCTCACAGGATGAAGAAGCACATCTGACTGGGAGAAACTGGGAAGATTTCATGGAGGAATGGGCATGGGAAATGGACTTTGAAGTATGGGCAACATTCTAAGAGTATGAGATGAGGGAGGCAGAGACAGAGAGGAAAATGTACTCCTCAGAGACTGGAAACACGAGAATGGACATGGCGGAACACAGAGGTGGAGAGGTGGCTGAGATGACTTTGCAAAAGTAAAAACGCTTATGACTAACTTCACGGGCTAACAATAGCTTTCAAGGGTGATGGGATAAAGCAATTATACTCCAATAAAGATGTTAAAAAAAAAAAAAAAAAAAGGGTGATGGGAACTACATTTTGGGAAGATGAAACTAGCATTAAATGTACACTCAGAGAGTTCAACAAGTAGAAAAAGGATGTTGGTCTGAAAGAGTGATGTGGATGAGAACAGAAAGAACCCATCGGACATGTTTAAAAGATTAATTCTATAGACCTCAGCAACTGAATGCACGTAGAAGGAAAGAAAGAGAACGATGGCAGACAGGACTCCAAGATTTTAAGGCCTACCAACAACAAAAATGGTGCTATCATTTTCAGAACGAGAATAAGGTTTTGGGAGAACGTTCAGCACTCTCTTGTTCATCGTTTACAAAATACCTGCTGGATACTGGGCACTGTCGTAAGTGACAGGGCTACCAGGAAACTAGACCAGCCAGGTCTTCTTTAAGAAACTTACACTCTAGTGGGGGATGACAATGGATTGGCAAAAAAAAAAAATTCAGATAGTGATAAGTCATATAAGGAAAATAAAACAAGGCAATGGTGTAGATGGATTAGGTAATGCTGGGTATTTTAGAGAAGGCCTCTGAGGAGAAGAAACATGGCCTCAAATTCTCTATCATTTCCCGCACTGAGAGATGGAGTTTGTTTCCTTTCCTCCTAAATCTGGGCTGGCCGTGTGACCAGCCAAAATACTGTGGTAGAAGTAATGCTGTGTTGGTTCTGGGCCTGGCCTAAACTATACCAGGATCAGCTGCTTCTACTTTACCACTCTGGAACACCTGCTTTTGGGACACCCTCTTGGAACTCAGCCACCACGCTTTGAGAATGCCAAGTCACCTGGAGAGACCACGTGCAGGGGCACACTGAGCTCCCAGTTGGCAGCCAACATCAACGACCAGCCATGTGGGTGAGCCTTCTAGGTGGTTCCAGTCCAATCCCTTGGTAACTGACTTGGTGATCCTGCCAACAACATGTGGAAAAAAATAACTACCCAGCTGAGCTCAGTCAAGCCCCACAAGCCACGGACTCATGAGAGATGATAAAATGGTTGTTGAAAGCCCCTAAACTTTGGGGTGGTTTGTTACACAGTGGTAGATAACCACAACATTTAAACAGAAAAATGATAAGCTAACCTTAGGAAGATTTAGGAAAAGAAAACCCAGAGAGAGGGCATAGCAAGCATAAAGGTCCAAGCAGGGATTATGTTTGAAGCATTCAAAGAACGGGCAAGAAGGCCAGAACAACTGGGTCCTGGGAATGAGTTGGAGGGGAGAATGGGAATAGGCCACAGCAATGAGTGTGGTTTTTACTCTAAGTGTAATAGGAAGCCACCCACTAGAGAGGTTTTTTTTTTTTTTGAATTTTTGAATTTTATTTCATTTTTTTATACAGCAGGTTCTTATTAGTTATCCATTTTATACCCATCAGTGTACACATGTCAATCCCAATCTCACAATTCATCACACCACCCCACCAGCCCCCCGCCACTTTCCCCCCTGGTGTCCATACGTTTGTTCTCTACATCTGTGTCTCCACTGGAGTTTGAGTACAGACGAGATAGAATCTGGGTTACATTCTACAATGACTGGGGCTACTATGTGGAGGCTGGAAGAGAAGAGCAAAAGCAAGAGACTAGAAAGGAGGATTTGCAGTAGTCCAGTTGAGAGATGAAGGTGGCATGAACTAAGACAGCAACAAAAGCGATGATAAATGATAAGATTTTTAAAATTTGAGGTAGACATTACCACATGTGGCGAAGACCAGCTAACAGGTCACCAAGCACATTCCATCTTCTTCCTTCTGGACACATGGTAACTACACATCCCAGCCCGTCCTCCAGTTAAGTATGTGACAATTAAGTCCTGGCCAGCACAAAAGCAGTGCAAGGATATGCAACACATCCATGAAAGCCTCCCACACGTGACCCTCCATCAGCTGGCCCCCTCGACCATCAGGGAATGGGGAAGGCACTGAGCCCTAGAGGAGGGCAGCCAAACTAAAGGAGTTGGGACCCTAAATGACCACATGCAAGGCCACCTACTACGTGGGAACATGTTTTTTGACTTTCATGTGAACAAAAATACATTTCTTTTATGGTAAGCCCTGAGATTTGGGGGTTTGTTTTTTTAACACCATCTTGTGCTACCCTAACTAATCCAGAAATACACTGCAGAAATTGCCGGTAAATTGGACGTAAGAAGTAAGGACAAGAAAAGATTCAGGATGACATCAAGGTTTGTGACCACGGCAACTGGAAGAATGGGAAAGACTGAGGGACACTCAGGTGAGCAGATACC